TTTTTTTTTTTTTTGAGAGAAAGGTTTTGAAATAATTTTCTTCCTTCTGTCCTTTTTGTTTTCCCGCACTATGCGCTACACGGTTTTAGTTTATTGAACAAGAGAAAAAACAAAAATAAAAAGGAGCTAGAAAAGGAGTAAAATTAAACTACCTTTTTCCATTAACAATCAACGTCTTCTGAAGGCAGTTTCACAGGCCATACGGTTTATCGGTGCAAAATTCAAGAGCACCAAATTTGTAGAGAAGAAAAAAAAGGAAATACAGACAATTAACTAACTGTTTCAGTTGGGTTTGGTCATTTAGGTAGCTGCTTAGTCCAGCAAAGTTTACAGTGGATGATGTCGCTGTTATCGACTATGGTGGTGGTGGGGTGAGGATTGCTGTGCGGTGAACACTGCTCTCCCACTGCTATTCCCGTTGCTGACGCTGTTGTAGTTCCCCCCACAAAGTAACCAACCCATTTTTATGTGCCCCATAAACGGGTATTATATCTGTTAAACGGGCAAAACAAAGAAAAAAGAAAACAACCAAAACAAACACGACAAAAAAAAAAATTCACTTCCACAATATCGTTAATCAATTGGAATGAGCAGAAAAAAAAAAAGAAAAAAAAATGAATTTTCAAGAAAAAAAAAGCAAAAATAAAGTTCCAAATGATGAAAGAAAAAAAAACTGCATAAAAAATGAAATAATTTTTGTTTTTCTTTCTGCTTTTATCTTTTCATTTCAAAAATTTCAACATTTCTCAAAAACAAACCTCAAAAACAGTGCTGCTGAATATTTATGACCTCCGAGGACCAAAAAGAAAAAAAACACAACGACGAAGTTTGAAATTATGCCGGCTTTCTTCCATAAAGCAACTTTAAAATAGGCAAAACTTTTCTGCTCCTCTTTTTTTTTGTTTTGTTTTCTTTTTTTTTCCTCCCCTTCTTTTCTGCTTCAACTTTTCAGTTTTGAAAAGCAATCATTGTTTTTGCGGCACTTTTTTTTTTTGTTTTTATTTTCTTGCCTCCACTTTCGTCGACAAAAAAAAACTTAATAGACTCGAAAAGAGGAAAAAGTGGAGGAAAAATTTTCGTTTTCGTTTTCATTCTCATTTTTTCTAGGATGTTTCCTTTCAAGTATCGAATAGTCGTAAGCTTGTTCCGTGAAAAAAAAAATTTTCATATTTTTTTTCCACGTTTTATAGCCCATCATTTGTCCCTTCTTCCCTCTCTCCCTTTGCCTCTCTTTGTCTTCACCAATTTTCTGCTTTTTTTTCCCGTTTAAATCAAAAAAATTTTTTTTCCATTGTCTGAAGCTGAGAAAAGAAAAAGCAGAAACTAAATGACAGACGGGAAAAAGAAAACGGGGAAAAAAAACTCGTATTCATTTAAAAGACAATCATTTTTTTTCAACACTTTGAAATTTTTTGAGGGGGGAGGGGAAGATAGGGAACGGTCTCTCATTATCTATATAAAATTTTTTTGCCTTTTTTCGCAATCATTTCGCCCACATAAAATGTCTTAAGCATTAAGTAATATTAACAAAAAAAAATAGACAAATAAATAAAAATCGTAAATTAAAAATAACTACAACAACAGCAAATAATTAAACTATAATCAAAGCCAAAAGAAAAAAAATATTTGAGTTGACTAAAAAGTGGGATTTTTTCCCCTTTTTTATCACAGACTGATTGGATAGACAGATTGGGAAAGAGGGTGAAAAAGCGAATGGATTGGGTTGGATGAGTATAATTTACGAGGAAACAATGATTTGCCTTGTTTCCTCCCCCAACCCCCTTCCCTTTCCCCTTCCAAATAAACCAAAAACACATACACACACATGCACGAAAAAAAAGCATCAAAGCAGAGAATTATTTATTATTTATATGCTGAAGAGCAAGAAAAAAGAGCAAGAATTGAAAAAAAAAGGCCAAGATGTATCCAGCATTATCATCAACTATTATCAGTCATCCAGTCATCAAGCCGTAATGTCGGTAATGTAAGTGGTAATGATACTGTTAATGTCACCTATGGATTTGCAATAATATCAACTGCACTACAGATTTTCACCGATATTTTTAAATGCTTTTTTTTTCCGGTTCTTTTTTCTCATATACTATTACTTGAGGAACAGTAGTAACAAACACAATTATTTCTTGTAGGAATAATAAACGAAGCAAAAAGCAGATGTACCTAAATTATTCAAGAAAAATGCTTGCATGAATGACTGATTCATGAAATCATGCAATTTGCCAATATCAACTGACGAACAGCAAGTGCAACAACGGGCATCAGTTTGATCATCTGCATCAGCAGCAGCATCACCAGCAGCGGCAGTAAAAACAACGACACTCAATTTGACAAAGCAACAACAATATCATTCTTAAAAAAGCTTTCTTCCATCCGTTTTTCAAACTCAAGTGGCATTTAATACACCGAACAAACAAAAAGTGATTTTCAAGGTTTGATTAAGCCGTCAAAAAAAAAACTCCCCCTCCCTCCTCGTTTATTTTTTTTTTGAAGCAAATTTTACTCTTTCGCAACAGTTTTCATTCAACTTCATCCTCAATCTACCAACAAACTTAGTTGATTAATTTACTGCCGTTGATGACAGATGAGACTAAAAAATTTCAATGACGATGATGACGAACCACCAATCAGGATGATGAAGATGATGATGATTATACTAATACTGATTATGATGGCTTTTCCACTGGTTCTACTACGATTGCCGAGAAGAACGATGATAAAGAACGATGGATAAATAAAGAACAATCAATGAACGCTTCTATTATAAAAGTTTCCATACACTGACATTACTTATTGCCGCTGTTGTCACTGTTGTGCTAATGTTCACGATACCATATCAATACCCTACTCTGGTTTATACTCCTTTAAAAATCTCAAATTCAAAAAATGCGGAAAACTTAAGACTGTTTCAGCGGGAAAAAAAAGAAACACACAATGATAATGGATAGTAGAGGCGCCAGTTTAGCGCAAAAAAAAAGCTGCTTTTGTGTATCGTTGCTAGACAAATTTATTTTTGCCCATTAAAACCTTAAAAACTAACTGTCAGTTTTCAATTTTTCCGGCAATCAACAATTAATAA